CATCGAACCGTCGAACTGGACTACGACGCTGATTTGTTTTTTCGTAAATAGTACCGCCGTACGGCTATACTCGATTTTTTTACTTTTTACAAAATCGTTAGACAGATCCTTTTTGTTTTTTTAAATAAATCGTAGAGCCGCGCGGCTATACTCGGTTTTTTCATGTCTCTTTTGACACGTGGGCAGCTAGTCGCTTTGCGGGGTTCTATGTTTTAAAAATAAATAGTAGAGCCGAACGGCTATACTCGGGTTTTAATGTCTGTTTTGACACGTGGGCAACTAGTTGCTTTGCGGGGTTCTCTTTTTTTTTTCAAAAATAAGCTTTTGACCTGTGAGTAACTAGGCGCTATATATTTGCTGCTGCTCTGTTTTGTTTTTTCATAAATCGTATAGCCGAGCGGCTATATGCAATTTTTTTTTCTTCAGAAAATTAGTATAGTCACCCGACTTTACTGGGTTTTTGGGTTTAATTCTTATAATAAGTATAGCCGATATATATAGATATATTAGGATCCTTTTTTTCTTTTAAATTTTCCCCGATTTTTGTTTATCGATAATAGTAGTTTATAGCATTATCCATTATTATTAGGCTATTATCCGAGTCTCTATTGTCCCCTTTTAATGTTTTACTTTCCCAGAGTTATTATATGTATAAAGAATTTAGCATTTACACGGTTAATACTTTATTATATAGGTATGTATGTATTTTCCAATTGTACATCTGTATTTTGTACACGTCTAAAGTACTCGGAAAAATTCACGTATTTTCCGATTATACATCCGTGTTCTGTACGTATTTTTCAATTAAGGATTGCATTCAATGATGAACTGCTGGTGTGAAGCCAAGCTATTGCTAGCAGCAAGGAATAAAACACATATAAGGTTAAGACAAGAATCTATTACATTCCATTATTACAATCCTATACTTCCTTTTTTCTTAAAATTAAGGTTAAGACAGATCACATAGTACTATAAGGAGACCTTGAGAAAGATCATGTTATGGGGAATGTGGTTGTATATGTTCTCCTTTTCTGCTCCTATTCTGGATCTACTTTGTCCGGGAATTGCCTCTGTATTTTGGTGGCTTGGGTGGTTTCCCCTGTGGCCGCCGCAGTTGGTTTATTGTTTCAGTTGTTGTGTCGCCGGCCAATTTTTTTTGCTCTGTTTGTTACTTTGCAGATTTGAGATTTGGAAAACTATTTCAGATCTGTGATTTGGTGGCAAACGGGGTGACCAAGCGTGCTGTGCGATTCTGTTCAGCCTTTCGTGCTGCTTTTGTGTTCAACCCGATTGTGGTGTTGATCAATATTCTCTTCTAGTTTTTACTTGTAAGAGCCTCTAGTGCTTGATATGCATTTTCTCCTCCTACCAATGATGGCTATTTCTCGGCACCTTCCCTTCACCACCATCTTCAGCACCTCGATCACACGAGGGTCTCCTCTCCTTGGTGACTCTTATGCAGTTGGGATTGCTTTTAAAGTGCTTATGTCACTTATTGCTTGGATTATGGTAGCGCTCTTTGTAGCTTTGGTGGCTTGTCCACTACCATTTTCTGTCTCGAGCATTGGTTACTGGTTCCTCTCCGGTGGGTGTGGGTTTGTGTTGATTATGCTGTTGTTTGGTTATGGGCGGTGTGGCATTTCCCTGTTTTGTATTCACTGCCTTTTGTGTGCACTTTGCTTTTCTGGGCTTTATGTCCTCTTCAAGTTGTATGATGTAGTAGGTTTTATGCCTTCTTGTGTTGCAGTTGGTTGAATTCCTTTGTGGAGCTCACTTTGTTGTAACCAGCTTTTGCCTTCTATATAATAAAATTTGATTCCGACCGAAAAAAAATCCAGTCAAGTCTAGCATAATTTAATGGGGGAAAAGGCCAGTGGCATTGAAATCTTGGTATTACATTTACAGTTGTACAAGCAAAAACAGCGGCACCAAAACCAGAATAGTTTTTAAAAAAAAACTATGAACCTGAAATTGAGGGACAAGTGGATGGAGCTCGCCCAGCTGCATAGCCAAATACAAGGAGGATATGTTGACGTGATTCATTTCCCACTATCTGCCAAATTCATACTTTAACTAGTTTCCCCAACATTTATTCTTCACATACGACAAATGTCTAGTTTATTTCCCTTGTTTTGTAGCTAGCCCCATGGAACTCTCTAGATTTACATGAAAAGGCAATTAATTAAACATTAAGAAAGTGCTTTTGGACCTGCTTTTGATTTGATAGTTTTGTGGCACAAAGATTTTTTTTTCTTTTGGTAAAACGGGGGGGCAGAGCCCCGAACAAAAAAACTAAGCAAAATTAGAACAAATTGCACGGGTTCTAGGCACCCTTAACATATCATCCATCAGACAGGAACCCACCCAAGTAGGCGCCTGATCAAAGGTGTATAAACCCAAATCCACGTTGTAACTCCATTTGGCAAGACAGTCGGCTACCCCATTCGTCTCTCTGTAAATGTGTCGTAAGACACAACAGTCAAACCGATTCATGAGCTCTCGACAAGTAGAGATCACCCCAGCAAGAGGATGAGAGTTGAGAGCATCAGTCATTTGGGTAAGTTGCACCACACTGGCAGAGTCCAACTCAATAATGAGTTTAGAGACCCTTTTGTCAATAGCAAGTCTGATTCCAAAGAACAGACCCCAACATTCAGCATCCAAGATTTGGCCTATTCCCAAGTTAACCGTGAACCCACCAAGCCAACCACCTTCAGAGTCGCGAATCACACCTCCTGCTCCAATAGTACCAGCTCCAAGTCTCCGTGATCCATCCACATTTAATTTAAACCAGCCATTGTCAGGGGGTTCCCAGACAAGAGAAATCAAGGTTTTATCAATTTTTGGTGTAGGAATATAAGCATTCATAATCCATTCCTTAGCACCAGTCACTACAGTATTCAGGGGACTAAGAGGCAACTCCTCCTCAGCTTTGAATATGAAATTGTTTCTCCATTTCCAAATAAACCAACAGGTGAATACAAAAACCAAGCTCCAGGATAGGCTAGTACCCCACTTGAATTTGGATAGAAGATTACTTATGATCCAAGGTTGCAACTCCGCTTGGAAGAACCTGGAATGTTGCTCAGGGAGTAAAATACTTTTCCAGATATATTGGGCTCTAGGACAATCTCTCAAAGTGTGGAGAACAGATTCAGTAAACCACCCACAAATCGTACATGAGGGATCATCCTTTATCTGTCTCTTCGCACATTGCTCATTGACAAGAATTTTTCCTTGGTAGACCAGCCAGAAGAAGATCTTCAATTTAGGTGGAATTCTCAGCTTCCATAAAGTATCCCAAAAAGGGTCAATTGAGCCATGATTACACACAAGTAATTCATATGCAGATTTAACGGTAAAAAGGCCGTTGTGAGAATGCTTCCAAATCATGGAATCCTGCAAATTGCTACCAAAACCAACAGGGCAATTAATAATTTGTTGAACAAGATCTTCACTAAGAACAGACCTAAGTTTTTCAATATCCCACCAATCGTCTTTGACAAAGTGAGAGATCTTGGAGTCCAAAGTATCAATAGGCAGCATACCACTTTGAGACAAAAGAGGGCCATTAGAGACCCAATGATCCGTCCAGAAATTAACAGAGTCTCCTTTGCCAACTCTCCAAATCAAACCTTTACCAAGAAGGGCAGAACCATGTAAAATGGCTCTCCAAGTGCTGGAACTTCCATGTTTACCTTGCAAACAACCATCCAAGACAGAGTGGCCTTTTAGATACTTCTCTTCGAAAATTTCAGCTAGCTAGATTTATGACAAACCAAAAGGCCCATATACAAAGTGCAGCCAGTATAAAAACTTTACTATATAAACCCCTCCCTCATTTTACATATTTGTTTGCATCAAACCATTACCTTGTTCCCTTTGTGTGTCACAAGATATGAACCTTTTCATTCTCTGCTTCTGTTTGAATTCTATAGTTTGCTAGCTAGCTGAGGCAACTTTATGGATGATGATAAAAGTTGTTCAAGCTCATTTTCAATCGGGAAGAGTGCACAAGAGAGGGGCTTGTCATATGTACCCGAGTGCTATGTAATTCCAACTTCACATCGTCCAAGTTTGACTCCAGAGGTTGCCAATGTCCCCACTATTGATTTTGGCAAATTGAAACAAGGTTCTCATGAACGAGCAATAGTTATTCAAGAAATCAGAACAGCTTGTTGTCAACTAGGATTCTTTCAAGTAAGCTTAATCTCTTTAATTTTCTTTTGGTTAGATGATCTTCATGTTCCATTCATAACGTAACCATGCATATATATATATAACATGCAAACAGATTGTCAACCATGGAATCTGTCAATCGGTGTTAGATGAGGCTCTTGCTTCGGCCTCGGAATTTTTCAAGTTGCCAGGTTCTGAGAAGGCCAAGTTCATGTCTAATGATGTTCACAAGCCAGTGAGGTATGGGACAAGCTTCAAGGATGGAGTTGATAAGATTCAATTTTGGAGGGTGTTTCTTAAGCATTATGCTCACCCCTTGGCAGATTGGATCAATACCTGGCCTAACAATCCATCTAACTATAGGTATATACCCTTATATTTTCTTTGTATTTCCAAAAAAGAAACAAAACCAAAAAAAAAACCCAAAAAGAAGAGAAAATTAAAATAAACATATGTACGTACCCAACTATATAACTAGCCACACATCTGATTTAAGAGCATGGTCTTCAGCTAAATTGTTGTCTTGTCTTATTTTGTCATACTTTTTGGTAAATCCTTGGGCAGTTGCCGCTCTTGACTTTTGGCAATCTGGAGGCCTCACATTAAAATATTTCAATAAAACATGGTCACTCTCACTAGCTAGTATACATATATCGAATCCAATGATCCTCATAAATATCAACCATCATGGAGCATAGTCTAGCGCTGACAAGCATGGCAAACAGGAACAGATAATCGTTTCTAATGTAGCTTTCATCTTTGTACTCAATTTGTTCTTTTACCCATGCGTCATCAATTGATTTTCAATCTTTGAATGCTTTATTCATATGAATCTAGGATCATCTGGAGAAATTTTTGGGAGGATTGTGTCTTTTAAGTTCTCACAGTCACCTTATCACATGATCGGTTATTGTAAAAGAGTTGGCCGGTTATTGTAAAAGAGTTGGCCCATACGCGACCACCTCAGTTATTAATATTGTTGCACAAGTTTATTTTTTATTAATTAGTAATTTGTTCTCATCACAAATCTTAATTGATTAGTACATGAATATCTCTAAGGAAACCATGGGAAAGTATTGCAAAGAAGTGAAGAAACTAAGCTTGGAGATAACGGAAGCCATCACTGAGAGCTTGGGGATAGGCCCAA